TAAAACAACACAGTGCAGTTAAGGTGCGCAATGGAAATATCAAGGTTATTTTGTATTTAAAAATGTACTCATAATCGAATTGGCGATTATTTGTAGTACAAAATTTATATCTGACAATTGTAATAATTGTTATCAACTACATATTGAGGACGCTTAGATTTTACATTTAAACTTGTCACGTGATACTAGGGTGAACCTACCTGTCACTGGCAGTCATTTTTATAAACCAGTAAGCGAAACCTCTATTAGCCTACTCATTTCACAGATATTTCACCGAAGAAGAACGTGTAAATGGTGAGTGTTTAATTGTATAAATAGATACACTGTTGATGAAGTTTTCTCTGCTATACGTACCGTAAGACAGCATGGTCTGTCTTTTACTTTTTAAAAATGAATTTTCGTTTTAGACATAAGGAAATATTTGGTTCGAATTTTGGGAATAACATTTTTAAAAAATCTTCTGATGTATAAACTGTGGATTTTTATATTTCATATAGGTCTTTAAAGTGTTGTATATTTGCGCTAGATAACGTTAAATATTTCTATTTTGTTTTCAATAGATAAACAAAACACCTGATATGTCCTTTAAATTGACCAAGTTTCTGTACGTTGATAATTTTTACAACAACAGTAAGTGAACGAATTTATGTAATAATCAGAGAGATATTTAACTTAAGAAAAATAAATTTCAAACAAAAAAATATTTAAATACGATTTTAGTTGATTATTATATATTCAGTTTTTTAAGCACTTCTGAAATTTTTTTTTTTTTGGAGAAGTAGTCTTTACGTTCTGTTCTTATACTTTACTCAGGGTTAGGATTATGTTCATTCCGAAGAGTTACTTTGGATTGTTGAGTATTTAGTTGGATATAAAAAGATATAGTGATAAATTTGATATATTATTCCCCTTCATATATAAGTACATTGCTATCTCGGTATGTTGCCCCCATTTATATTGCCAGCCCAGCTTATTTCCATCCGCCGCTTGTGTGGTGAAACAAAAGGTCAAATTATATAAGGAACACCCTCGGTAAAAATGTCCGCCATTATCTAGTGTGTGTAGGTAGTTGAGTTGAGTTGAGTTAAGAACACGTGTGTTATGAAATGTGACTTGGCGAGCAAAGGGTTCGATTAAATTTAAATAATCGTTTTTAAAAACTCAAGATTAATGCAAAACATCGCGTACCTATCAATTTTACCAAAATTTTCAGTAAATAAGAAAAATGTGATGCCTATAATAATAACACAAGAAGTGCGTCGCATTTCAGAGTATCTCTCCCTTAATATCGGAACCGTCGCAAAATCAATTTTCAATCCAAAGTTATAAACACAAACCAATCTTTTCGAAAGGGGGCAATTCTTTATGCCTCTAAATGCATATCTTATCAAACGCATGTTTTACAGCAGCAGCGGTAACATTTCTTCTACTTCGCTCAAATATTAGTTGTCCCTGACGCCATTACGTGACGTCAGGGTCGCCTCCATGCACCCAAAAGGAACAACACTGCATGAAAATGAGCAATTAAATGCTAAATCTTGATGATTGAGGTCAAGTGAGTATATATTCAAGAAAAGAACTATATGCGGTATACAGCATATCTTTGCCCCCACAAAAGTAACATTTTAAAACATTCTTAGAAAGTGCTGAGTGTAACGATATGTGTTTACTAATTCTATCATGCCTTAATTATGATCGGGTTCGATGTTCATTTAGTATGTTGATGTTTACTGAATAAACGTTACATGGTGTCAGAAGTACACGTGCACCATTGATTTTGGTGAATGCTATCCCTCCTATTCGGCATGAGTAACGGAGATGGTGAAAATCAGGCAGATGGTGTTGCAGCGGCACCACAGAGAGTGTATGTCCCGACAAATATACCGTTTCCAGCGAAACTGGACATTCGAGGAAACTTGGCTACGAATTGGCGCCATTTTAAACGGGTATGGGAGAACTATGAAATAGCAACCGGACTGAAAGATAAGAATAATGAATTGCGTGTAGCAACTTTGTTAACATGCTTAGGTGCAGAGGCATTATCTGTTTACGATGGCCTCAAGTTCGACAACGATGAAGATCGTAAAGATATCATCAAAGTACTACAAGTACTAGAAGACTTCTGCATAGGTCAGACGAATGTGATATACGAACGATACACGTTCAACAAAAGAGAACAAGAGTTAAATGAAACTATTGACAGTTATGTTGCTTCATTACTTGTGAAAACCTGTCGATTTGGTGCTTTACAAGAAGAAATGATTCGAGATAGGATCGTGCTCGGGATTAGGGACAATCACACAAGAAAGAAACTGTTACAGGAGAAAGGTTTAGACTTACAACGTTGTGTTGACATTTGTAGAGCTAGTGAGAAGTCAACTTCACAACTTCGAGCGATAGAAGAAGTGCAGTTTGTGAAGAAAGCTAAACCAGTGTCAGATAAACAGAAGAAGGGTCCTAGAGACAAACAAGAAGTAAGCTGTGAGTACTGTGGTTTACGACACCGTAAGGATAAAACAGATTGTCCGGCTTATGGCAAAGAGTGTTCTTCATGCGGACGCAAGAATCACTTTGCTCGTGTGTGCAAACAAGGGAACACTAAGCAGCAGAAAAAGTTCCGACATGGCAGAAGGCCACATTCAAAGAAATCGGTACATGATGTGAATGACTATTCATCATCCAGTGAATGCGAATATGTTCTCACTGTCGAAGAAGTACACAACGTCAACAAGAAAAAGAAGATTACAGCTCAGATGCTTATCAATGACCAAACCGTACATTTTCAGTTGGATTGTGGATCTAGTGTAAATATTCTATCTGAGACATTGTACAAGAAGCTGTGTAATGACCACGAGAACCTGACAGAAACTAATATGACATTAGTGATGTACAACAAGAGTAAGTCGAAGCCATTCGGGAAAAGAAGGCTGACTGTTCGCAATCCTAGAAACAGAAAAAAGTACAGCGTTGAATTTGTGATAGTGTCAGGAACAGAACTTAACCCTATTCTTGGATTATCGGCGATACAATCGATGAAACTTATCACTGTGAATATGCAGAACTTTGTCGCACAGATTGGTGGAAAGTGTAGTGACACTACAGAGCCTCTTACCAAAGAACATTTTAAACAACAGTATCCAACATTATTTGATGGACTTGGAAAACTTGAAGGAGAGTTACACCTCAGGATTGTCACTACTGTGCAGCCAACAAAGATACCTAGCAGGAAAGTTCCACTATCCCTCAAGTCGGATCTAAAGAAAGAACTTGATCGGCTACAGAATCTAGGAGTTATCTCTCCAGTAACGACTCCAACTGACTGGATATCATCCATGGTTGTAGCGAGGAAGTCAAATGGGGCTATTAGACTTTGTATTGATCCTAAGCCCCTAAATGCAGCACTGCAGCGGAATCATTACCCCACTCCAACAATAGAAGACATCCTACCAGATTTGACAAAGGCCAGGATCTTCTCAGTGGTGGACGCAAAGGACGGATTTTGGCATGTCCTGCTCGACAAAACCAGTAGTTTCCTAATGACGTTTGGAACACCCTGGGGACGTAACCGTTGGTTGAGGATGCCTTTTGGCATAGCACCAGCACCTGAAGAATTTCAGAGGAGGATGGATGAGGCACTTGAGGGTTTGAATGGAATCAAAGCAATTCACGATGATATACTTGTCTATGGTTGCGGAGACACAGATGAAGAGGCGATTAGAGACCATAATCGAAAGCTTATTGAGTTGATGGACCGATGTAAACAGAAGAACATCAAACTGAACCTTGACAAACTGAAATTAGGACTTACATCAGTGTCTTACCTAGGACATGTTATTTCAAAGCAAGGACTGAGTGCTGATCCGAGTAAAGTACAAGCGATTAGAGAGATGCCTACCCCTACAGACAGACAAGCAGTACAGCGTCTGTTAGGAATGGTCAATTTTGTGCAGAGATTTGTACCCAATCTTTCAGAAGTTACTTCTACACTTCGGGACTTGTTGAAAAGTGACACTTATTTTCATTGGGATGAGCAAGTCCATGGAAATGCCTTCAGCACTATTAAGAAGATTTTGTCAGAAGCACCGGTCTTGAGTTTCTTTGATCCACAGAAGGAGACAATACTGCAATGTGATGCATCTCAGAACGGACTAGGGGCTTGTTTGATGCAGGATGGACATCCAGTTGTGTATGCTTCGAGAGCATTGACCCAAACAGAGTGCAATTATGCGCAAATTGAGAAAGAATTGCTGCCTGTAGTTTTTGGACTCGAGCGTTTTGAGAACTACACGTATGGTTGTCACGTCAAGATAGAGTCAGATCATAAGCCGCTTGAAATCATCCAAAGGAAGAGTCTTGTGATGGCACCAAGGAGACTTCAGAGGATGCTATTGCGACTCCAGAAGTTTGATTAAGAGATAGTCTACAAGAAAGGTGCGGAGATGTACGTAGCAGATACGCTAAGCAGAGCTTAGCTACCAGCATCAGAAGAAGATATGGAGAAAGCAAGCATATTCGATATTGATCAGAGGAGCTACATATCAATATCCGAAGCAAAGATCATGAAAATAAAAGGAGCGTCTGAGGAGGATGAAACAATGAAATTGTTGAAACGTGTCATCAAGTCAGAATGGCCAGACGGCAAGGATGAACTTCCAAATAAAGTTCAGTGTTACTTCCCATTCAGAGATGAACTTGTCATCCAGAACGGCCTAGTATTCAAAGGGGAGAGAGTTGTGATTCCTGATAGAGTTCGCAGAGACATTATTGAGAGGGTTCACGAAACACATATTGGAATACAAGGATGCCTAAGAAGGGCACGAGACAGTGTATTGGCCCAATATGAACAATGACATTGAGAATTATATACAGTGTTGTGAAATTTGTAGTTCATGTCAGACTGACCAGCCTAAGGAACCAATGATTTCACATGATATACCAAGGAGAGCCTGGGAGAAAGTTGGTTGTGACTTATTTGAGTTTGACGGAAATGACTACCTTATATGTGCAGACTATTTCTCAGATTTTTTCGAAATAGACAGATTACATGGAAAGACTGGCAAGGAAGTCATCTCAAAGATGAAGGCTCAGATAGCGCGTCATGGCATTCCGAATGTTATTATATATCTGATAATGGTCCACCATTCAACAGTAGAAAATTTCAGGATTTTGCTGAAAAGTACGAGTTCGAGCACAGGACTTCATCTCCTCGTTACCCTCAGTCAAATGGAAAAGCAGAAAACGCAGTCAAGATTGCTAAGGCCCTAATGCGCAAATGTGTCCTTGACAAGAAAGATCCTTTCTTAGCACTTTTGGACTGGAGAAATACACCTAGTGAGACCATTGGACTCTCAACTGCAGAAAGACTGTTTGGCAGGAGAACCAGGACTAGACTCACACTATCCTCAAAGCAGTTGAAAACTCATAATTCCAGTGGGATCTCCAGGAAGCTGTACAAGAGGAAAGGAAAAGAAGCTAGCTACTATAACCGCGGCTCGAAGGAAATGCAAAAATTACATGCAGGAGACACTGTACGAATTCGTCCATTCGGGAGAGAGAAGTCGTGGACAAAAGCACAAGTAAGAGATCAAGTGGATATTCGCTCCTATGAAGTTCGTACAGAAGATGGACGCGTATATAGGAGGAATCGAAAACATCTTCGACTTAGCAGGGAACCGTTTTCTAAGGAAGACTTACCCAGAAACACCAGTTTGTTCCCTGATGTAAATAAAGACAATTTGGAGACTAGTGTTTCTACTAACAGAGACATGGACAGAGTGGAAACCCCAGTTCAGAGAACATTACAAGCACAGAACACACCGATAGTTGACAAGAGTATCACACCAGCCAAAATATGTCGTTTACCAAATCCAACATCTGAAGTATCGGGCAAACGTCTTACAAGGAGTGGCCGCGAAATCAAACCTCCACAGAAGTATCAGGATTTCGTGTGTAATGTTGAGTGTTTTGTGTAGGAGAGGTAGATAGTGATAAGGTCATAATAATACCTTGTCTACCTCAGGTTTCCAAAGAAATCTAGTCATTTTATTTTCTATGTTGTTACAAGTAGGTGCAGAACAGTTTAGTTTGTTTGTATGTTATTGGAACCCAGTAATTATTTTTAATACTCTGACATTCAAATTCTGGACAATATAGACTATTATGGGACTTTGATGAATTAAGCTTTTTGTATAATTTCTTCCATTTGAAAATGCTAGGTTTGTAAATTCATAATTTTAAAGAAAAATCTTGAGAAAGGGGATGTAACGATATGTGTTTACTAATTCTATCATGCCTTAATTATGATCGGGTTCGATGTTCATTTAGTATGTTGATATTTACTGAATAAACGTTACATTGAGTTCTATGAATTGTGTGAAAACTATTAATTAACAGACCATATAACACATGTAGTTTCAAAGTAATTTATTGACAATTTTTGTTTTTTATGACGTCATGAATTAGTTTGATTTTATAACATTTTTTTAGAAAGAGGACAAAATGGACAAAATTTCAACATTTTTAGTTTTAAAAGAGTTTAATCCACGAACCATAAAATATGGCCTCATCCCCAAAATCAACATGATTTTTATTATCGATAGTGTAGACTTTAAGCTTTTCATAACCGTTTTTCTTTTTTCGATATCTATTTTACTTTCTCAAAACGAGATATTGCAATATGGTATTGTTTTGATGGAAAAATGCATTAGGAACGTCATTTTTTGGTAATATAACGTCACGTAAAAAGGCGATAGAGATGACTGTAGGATTGAAATGCACCTATTTATTAAAGGTGCTTAGACACATAATTGAAGCAATTTTTTTGTCAAATGTTCTGTTTAATTAAGTCACAACTTATTATCGAATTGTTTCAAGAGTGAAGAATTCTTATTTGCCAAAGGCGTAAGATTGATACGTCGCCGTTGTTTGATGAAGAACTTATTCTCTATAATCACATCTGGGCGTCATTTTGTTTCCAACATATGCTTGAAAATCACTGTAGCACAATGTCGGCAGTTCTGATAAAAACTGATTTTGATGAAACTGTACATGTATTTTTAAAAACCTGGTTAACAATTAAAAAAAAAATTATTTGAATTATCATCTTATTTAAAAAATCATTTTAGTCGGCGCGATTAAATTTGGTAGGTTGCGTTATAGGGGAAACAAAGGTATTTTTTTTTTATTTTGGCCTCGGCAAATAAATCATAATTTTCAGATCATGTAAAAAAAATTCCATTTTCGCAAATATTTTAAAGCATAATTTTTAAAAGCTAGAAAATAAACTTGTATAGGCTTTTCACATGTCCGATCAACGTATTTAGGGGGGAAATCGATCAAAAGGAAAAGGGCATTAAAAAAATATTTTGAAGTGAATTATCATTTATCTGACTACACAGAGAGAGTTCGTAAAACAAAAACAAACAAACAAACAAACAAAAATGAAATAAAAATACACGAGTGAATTTTAAGAATTATTGGATTCCTATACGAAGAAGATCATATTAAGTTGTTTGGCATGAATAAACAAGATTTTGCTCAAACTGAAAGCTACATCAATGCAATCGCTCTGTTTACAGACTCCATTAATATTGTGTCTTAGCGAATTTATAGTGAGCCGTTTCAAATATAACTCGTAAGTTTAGAGAAATAACCTGTCATATAATTTAATCAAGAATCTATATGCTTATATTTTGCCGGTCTCTGGCACGAATCAAGATCAAGTAGTTTTATGGGTCAATTATTCATTTTTTTTTCACTTAATACGCCCCGCTTTCTCATTCAAATAATACAATTACCTCCATAGCTGTAATGCCTAAGCCGGGATTTTACAGTAAAGTATACGATTTTATTTATTCAATATCATGTATATATTGAGAGTCTCTTTCCCAAAAAATATCTTATGAGTATTTATACAGACTATGCTTTACGACTTTAGCTTTAAAAAGTGCGAGAAAGCAGAGTTATATGAAGATTCATCCCCCCCCCAACTGTGAACCAATGAGAATGAAAATAGTCTTTTCTTAGAATTTATTTAACAGTTATGAAATTTTCAAAGAATACAAACAATGATCGTATAGTGGTTTAGAGCAAATATAACGATCGTTAAACGGCCCGTGATCGTAAAGCGTCTCTCGATCCCTCCTAGAACGTTGCTCCGAAGAGCCCCGCTCTGAGAAGTGCGGCCCAGATGACAGCGAGAGAGAGTGAGCTGGAGCTAAGAATCTCTCGAAGATCGCCGTAGTTAGTATTTATAATGTACAATACATAATAGTCATTTGCATATACGATAAACAAGTTATTCAATAAATTGGCCTAAATCCTGGAATTTCGACAAAACAATTTATAATCTAAACATAAGTTTTTGTAAACTGGTAGTCAGTGTCCTTGTATTAGGCAAAAGTAAGTATAACTTTAATATAAACTTTAATAATGTTCAGTTATTGTTCCTGGATTGATGTCCGTAGATAGATAAACATCCTGGTATGTTATATAGTCCTTAATCCGATTAAGGACAGATGATACAAACAAATTTTTTCTTTGAAAAATATTTAATATCATGTCACAAGTTAAGTAATGTGGATGGTTCTTAGAAGTTTTTCTCCTAAGAACCGGAATTTGAAAAAGACTTGGAAAATATTAGTAATATTTCAATGAAAAGACAAATATAGACAAAACACATTCAGTAAAGGTTTACAGGTGAAAACAAATTTCAGAATATGTTAACATGATGCTAAAAGTGTAATATAAACTCTAGAAAAATATACCAAGCCAGGTGAATTTTATTAGGAAATGCTAAATGGTAAAAATCAGCCTATTTAATATCGCTTATTTTTCGTAATTTTGATCTTCCTCTTAAATTTCACCTGGCTTGGTATATTTTTCTAAAGTTTATATTACACTTTTAGCACCATGTTAACCATGCAGTTAGTCGCATCAAGATATACATATCAATTGACATTTTCTTCTCATATACACAAAAAGGCTAAAAGGAGGTAAGAAGTTACATTCTGTTTATTATTTTGATCGGGGTATTTAATGTACATAAGCGTATATTCTATTTCAATTTCAATAAACAAGAAAAAATTAAGAAAACCATGAATCTTGCTTGAGAATCAGAAAGGGATAATTTTCCAATGTATTTGTTAAAGAAGTTAATTCTGCATAATACCATAATCGGATTTAGTCTATGTCTGAACTTTCAATTTATTTACAATTTACAGCGTTCTTTATTATATTAACATAACTTAATACCGGTAGATAACGGCAAAATATAGACATACTTTAATTAAAAGTGCTGAAAGCGGTGGCGATGTTTTTAATATCGTTAAACTATCTGGGTAACGGCTTGATGTTATATAAACAGTAAATAACACTTTACCAATTACACTGCAATCTCTATCTTGAGAGCTATAACTACCTCAAAATATGGTGTAAAAACCCTAAATAAAAATCAATGCAGCACTTTCCTTTCTAAAAGAAAAGCAGAAGGGATTTTAAGGAAACTGCGTTCAAATTTACATATATTTTAATTTTTCCGACTAATTAATTAGTACGGATTTTCTAACGGGTTAGCATCGTTCCGACCGATTAATCGATTATCCAGTTACAAATTGTCATCCCTAGTATATATACACTATTCTTCTTACCAAATGCAGAGGACCTGTGTATTCTTTGGGTGCGCTGGTATGGTATTGTCGTTTACTAATTATTGAATTAGAAATTCAAATAATGAGTACACGACAATTAAGTAACGTATTTCCAACTCGGCCTATGGCGCTTCTTATCCCAATGCTTCCAATGCGTTTGATAAGGGGAAACCGTTTTACTTTAAGCAGAAATAAAGATGCTCAAAACAACTTAGGATATTTTCTGGATTTATTTTAGTATTTCTTTCAGACTACAGTTTGGTCTTGACGGCACGGCTGTCCGTCTCCAACTGACTAACAAAAGACAAGTTTGAGTAAAAACAAATTAAGCACAAAGAAGAAATTAAGTGTCACACAAAGAGATAAGATAAAAGAGTGACATTCTATAGATGGACAATTAAATAAACATGTCACATTAACAGCGTTGTTATAAAAATCACCCGTAAATCCTTGTCGTGGTCAAGGTGTGAAAATTACTTTATGGGATTAACTCTGTTTAACACCAATTGATAATTTGATTAAATACAAAATGGTTCCCGTGGAATGCAAGATATTTTGCTAAACAAATACAGGATCAGAAAGCTTTCATAAAATTATCACAAATAGCATCAAAAATAACTATAAAACAAATCAGTAATTATTAGGAATATGAACATTTAAAAATCGTGTAATTTTTCATCACGACAAATGTCGTTTACTAATTATTGAATTAGAAATTCAAATAATGAGTACACGACAATTACCCCCTTAGCCACGATAAGTTTGGTCCCCAAACTTGAAAACAAATTTTACAGTTTTTATTTAATATCGTCTGAGATTGCCACGATAATAGTTTTTGGTAGTCCGAAAATGTCCATGGTTCGCGGGAACCTGCTGTACACTTGGCTGAGACGGTGAATGGCGATGGTCCTCACGCAGTAATTCCCGCCGAATCTGTAGAAGACTTGATCGGAGGCCTTCATTGGACGTTTTTAAGCTTTCGTTTTCCTCTTTAAGTTTTTGGTTTTCCGACGCGAGATGTAGTTCTTTGTTTGTTGGACTCACTTGTTGCAGAGTGGCAATGGTCTCTTCATAATTTAGGCAGGTTTTCTGGTAACTGGAAATAATTTCTTCCATCTCTCTCATTTGATCGTTTCGACTGGTCATTAATGAAAGTAATTGATTGTACAATTCGTCGTTCTCGGTAATGACATCTTTCTGTTTTTGAACAGTATCTGTCGCTATTTTAGTTAAAGAACACTGCTTCTTGTATTTAGTTTTGATCGCTTTTAGCTCAGTTTTCAAGTTACCTTCAAGATCTAAACACTGTTGAAATGCGGTTGAAC